ACTACGAATATACTAGAGGAAGTACACGTGCATCCAGAGTGGAATAATAACCTGTTTGTAATTACATTCTATTATGGAGTATAATGGTATGTAATGAGCAATTTTCTAAATAAAAGGGGAAGACGGTCAAATAAATTCTTCTATTATTTTGAGTTTATCACTCAAGTCCTTATACTAAAAAAGTATCATATAAGTACGCTTAAAAAAACAATCAATATATTCTAGCATTTTAATCAGTTTTTGAGCAGTAATAACATGTTTTCATACTAAAAGCTTTAAAAAGTTGGTAACATTTTAAGAAGGGAAAATAACTTTAAATAATACCAACTATGACTCATCAACCAATAATAGTACATACTTTGAAAATGATTTTTAATAATATTAACTATTTGAATGTAAAACAAAAATAATATGATGTCACTTTTTAACAAGAAATCCAATCATTTAAGAGTTTAAGACATCAAAAACTAATTGCAAACCATCAAATAAATGATATTCAAAAATACATTCACTTATTTGATATTTTAATTTTAGTTTTTGGTGAATTAAATGACTAGTTTTTTGGTGAAAAAATGTTGTATATCACTTTTGGTCTATATTTAAATATTTGGTATTATTACAAGTTATTTCCAAAGTACGTATTATTCTTAGTTCATAAGAGATAATTTGTATTATTTAAAGTTATTTTCCCTTTTAAGAATTATATATATTTGGAAATAATAAAAACTGTTACCAAACAAATAACCCCATTTTTGACATATGATGAATATATGAAATTGACCTAGAGACCTGAATATCAATTTCACTTTGGATGTTCTTATTAGTGCTTCATGTTGCAACTACTAGTGTTTAGTTACCGATCAAAAACTGCTCAATAAATTCTGATTCTCTGATGGTTACTTTTCCAAGCTAAGTTAATTTTGGGGACACATTTTGGTATGTTCCATTTCTGCATTTCATAATGCTTAATGTGATTTCTTCCGCTAATCGTTCTGGGTTTTGGTGTATAGGATGCTCGCCGCAAGTTTATATGGGAAAAAATGTATTATTTGGAGAGATGGTGGGGGATGCATCAGCTGCAAATAAAGAACCCTTCATCAATTTAGCACAGAATGGACAACTAGAAATCGTAGGTGGTGGTTGGGTGATGAATGATGAGGTAACCCTCTGCTGTTAATGTAATGGCATTTTTGCAATGGTGTGCAAATACTGATTTTTGTCTTCAGGTGCTGCATATTTCATACCATTGGGATTTGGGAATGGTGAAAAAAAAAGCCATGTTTTTTTACAGATTACAGTGGTGATTTGACAATTTTTTAGTAAAAGTTACCATAATGAATGAGTTCTAGGCTTCTAGCCTCTTGCAAAAATGTTTTCATACTAATAATTTTCAAAAATGCTAAAGGTACCCCATTTTGGGGTCCCCTATTGTGTGGTCACGAATGGGGCAATACTTTTAAGTGGGGCAACACTTTTAAGTGTGGCCTCATTTGAACCACACAATGTGTGATGTAAAAATGGGGTATCCCAAAATGGGGTACCTCTAGCATGGTTGAATAATTTTAGTGCTCATATATATTTGGAAACTAATACATAGTGTATGATATATAACTGCTTATCATAATATACTACAAATACAAAGTAATTAGTAGTGCTAGAAACTTAGGTAACTTACAAATACAAAGTATACTATTACTCAATAACTTAATTTAATAATTTAATAGAATATTCTAATTTTTTTATTATGTTTTATTATTATTATATATTTTTTAAAATGTAACTATGAAATCTTAATTTTAGTACTTGGATCTATTTCATAAAAAAATTTGGTTATGAAATTCTCCGTTTGTTAAAACTTCATTTTTTATTCCTTATATGCAACTAGGAGTGTCATGTTTGTATTGTCTATATAGGAATAATCACTCCCAAACTTAGAAAATAATTTTATGTTTAAAGTCTTATAATGTATTATTATTGTTATTGTTGTTGTTATTGTTGTTATGATTATTGTTGTTGTTGTCATTATTATTGTTGTTACTCTTGTTAGTGTTGTTATTGTTGTTATTCTTGTTATTGTCATTACTGTTATTATCGTTATTATTGTTATTATCATTATCATTATCATTGTCATTGTCATTGTCATTGTCATTGTCATTGTCATTGTCGTTGTCGTTGTCATTGTCACTGTCACTGTCACTGTCATGTCACTGTCACTGTCACTGTCACTGTCACTGTCACTGTCACTCTCATTATAATTGTCACTGTCAATGTCACTATCACTATAACTATCACTATCACTATCACTATCACCACCACTATCACTATCATTATCATTATTACTGTTATGACAAACAAATAATAGAAAAACAAGAGAGTAAAAAAGAATGAGGGTGACTAAATAAAAATATGGTAAGTAGAGCTCATAAAAAAATTTACTCTTTATACTGAATTTAAGAAAAAAAAACTCAATTTGATTCATGTGATTAAGTTTTATTTTGAGTTTAAGTGTACATTTACTTTACCGATATTTCGTAATAATGATGATCGATCAACCATGCAGTTGTGACGCCTATACATAAAAAGGTATTTCAAAATTCTAGAAACCAATCATAATACAGAGTATATTTAATTTTTTGTATACTAAAATTTTTTCACAACTTATATGAAAAAATATGCATGTTTATGTGACAACATCCAATATTAATGAATTTATTCGTAATTTGCAAATTTTATTCTCCCGTGCATCGCACGGGTATAACACTAGTAAGTAAAAAAAATTATTAGCAACTGCTTCTTAAATGAATGAAATTCTGTAGAAGATAATGGAGTTTGAAAGATCCTGATTTCAATGCATGAAGAATTGAGTTCACTCAGGTTCCTTCATGTATTGAAATTAGGGGGTCCGGTGATCGCCGAGTGGCCGTCACAGGTTTCCAACAGGGGTGTTCGATAAGCTTGAGGGATGAGGCATCCAAGTCGGTCCGACAGCTTGGGGGCAGAAGCTTTGGTCAAGCTCTCGCTGACTGTTGCGCTACGGCGACAAGAGGGAGACACACATACGCAGTTCAAACTCCAGGAGAAAGAAGGAAAAAAAGAAAGAATAAAAGGAAAAATGGAAAAAAATAAGAAAGGAAAAGAAATATGAAAATAATAATAATAAAATAATAATATGAATTTTAGGATTTTTGGAAAGCACATGGATTTTGAAGTCCAGAGGGGAGCTGATCTGAATTCATAAGGCCGAAAGGGAACTAACAGCTAACTTGAACTGCGTGGGAGACTCGTGATGGGATTATGGGACTAGACCGCGAGCCTAATCTGCCCTGGCCTTGAAATTAGACCCGTGAGTCCAAGCCCATGACCCAGACGTTGGCCCAAGCTCAGGTCCATTGTCTCACCAGGCCAGTCGACCAGCAAGCCCAAGCCCGAGTCATTTATCTCGCCAGCCCAACCCGACCAGCAGACCCAGTAACCCAGAGCTTGAGTTGGCCCAACCAATCAAAACCATCAAGGAGCAGAAGTCCAATAGAGCAGAATTCCGAGACAACTTGTCTACCGAAGGCCCACCTACTAGAACTTGCCTTCCGGCCTAGCAGGGAACATGCCTTCTAGCCCGGTCAGGACCCGGCCTTCAGCCCACCAGGGAGCCTGCCTCCATTCCAGCGGGAAGCCTGCCCTTTAGGCCGACCAAGAGCCTGCCTCCAGCCCAACGAGGAGTCTGGCGTCCCGTCCAGCACGAGGGAGCTCAAGCTTCCGACCAGCCAGGCAAGAACAGTAACGGCCAGACAGTAACGGCCAACCAGGTTGATTGGTTGTTTTGCAAAAAAATGTATATGATGTGATTATCGAAATTATAAATATGGATATTTTCCCTGGACTTTAAAATGATAAATAATACGTAGTACTCCATAATAATATAAATTTTGCATTTGATTTTTAGCGAACATTGACCGGGTTTCTTGGCCGTTGACCAGTGTTGAGGTTTATTCATTCAACCCTCGGGTCCAACACGTAAGCCCAAGAGTTTCGAGTGGAGTGTGTTTGTGAATAAACTAGCCCAACTAACAAGTGAGATGGATTAAGAAACAGTAAGTAGCAAGTAAGAGATTAGGTATTATTAATCAGTTAATAACTCCCCAATACAATACTTTCGCTAAGGCTTGTCGGCCGTTCGTCTTACAAAGCAGTAGAAGAGCTGCGAGTAAGAATGCTATAAGCTAGAGTGTTAAGAATAGTAAGTTGTCAACCCTTTACAATGAAATAAATTTTGCTATTTATACTACCAATGGGTAGCTGGCTATGATGACGTGGAGGTTTGTGAGTGGCTGATGTCCCAACCACCAAATCTCCGGCATTAAATGCACCTCCCGCCAGAATCTGGGTTTTCCGCCTAGTTCGTGGGGACGTACGTCCAGTCTGGTCAAGGGGGACTGCTCTTGGTGATGCTGGACACTGCAAAGGGTAATGGGCCGTTCGTATCCTGGCCCTTAGAGATTTGTCGCATGGATTGGACTGGCCCCAATTGTTAGTGGCCGTTGCGTTTGTCTGTGGATTTGGTCCACTTGTCTTGTATGGACGTTCGTCTGAGTGGGCTGCCCCACCAAGGAAGACGTTCGTCTGGTCGAGGTGAATGGGCCGGCCCATGTGCTGGGCCATTAACCCAACAACCAGGTTTACTCTCCGGGCCCGAGCTGACCCTCGACTCGGTCATTCGGGTGGTCACCCAATCCTGTTTTGATAACATACTCCGTAGGTTTTAGTTCCTTTTAAGTATTTATAAGTTAGAGCAATTTGTTTTATTTCAAATAATTTAGGCGTCCTATACGATTTTAAGAGCAATTCTTGTTGTCACGAAATAAATGTTATATTTTTTTCTTTGAAAACACTGTACACGGACAATCATGTTGGTTTGTCTGTGCATGCTGTGGGGAAAAAACAACAACCCTTCACAAACAGTGTAAGAATATTTCGTGTACAAAATGTTTTTTCGTGATTTTAAACGCAAAACTATCTTTGTACGAAGTACCTTTACATGGCTTTCTGCCCGCTCTTGCCTCCCCATGCTGTCCCCTGTTTCCCTCCTCTTCCAACAACAAAATGCTGTTTCTTTCTAATGGAGCCATTGAAACTTATGCCACTGCTTCGGGGTATAAAATATCTGAATCTCTTCTCTCTCATTTTTTTTAGATGTTTATCTTATTCCCTATATCGCGATTTTAAGCATTCCCCTTCTCCGTTTCCATTAAAATTTGGTTTCCTTCCACTTCCGTTGCATTCCTTATCCACCATTCATCAATCCAGACATTCGGTTCACCACTCTGCATTGTTAATTGCGATCCTTCCATCGGTTTAACCCCATTATATTAGCAATTTGCAATTTTTGTTTTTCAAAATTTGGGATCTTTCCGGTGTACAATCCTTTATTTCTCCGCAAGAAATTTTGCAACTTTTAATAAATGATTGATCTTCGGTTGAACTTTGAAATGTCACAATAACGTTTTATTGAGGGCAGAGGGAGAGGAAAATGAAGCTTCTAGTGCGAGTGATTGAAGCGCGGATCATGCCGGGAAATGACCAAAATGGGCTCAGTGATGCCTATGTGAAAGTGCAGATGGGGAAGCAGAAGTTCCGGACGAAGGTGGTGAAGAAATGCGTGAACCCATCATGGTGTGAGGAATTCGGGTTTCGGGTTGAAGAGTACAAGGAGGAAGAGCTGGTGGTTTCTGTTCTTGGAGAAGATAAGTACTTCAATGACGATTTTGTGGGCCAGGTTAAGATCAACATTTCCCAGGTTCTTGAAGCTGATGGGAAGTCCCTTGGAACTGCTTGGTACACTTTGCATCCCAAGAATAAAAAGGCTAAGAATCGGGACTGTGGTATATAAGCTTCTTCTTCTTGTTCCTTGTAATAAACGGTGATTAATTTAGAATCATTTCAAGTCACTAATGAAGTATATATGCATCTACTAAGCTAAAAGTGGTGTAAAAATCTATGATCTTTATCATTAATCTAATTTGTTTTTCCAGGCCAAATTCTTCTCACGGTTTGTTTCTCTCAAAATAATTCGTTCGCCCCAGACATGCAGGCCGGAGGTGATCTTGTTCCCTTTCCATCAAAGAAGCATAGTGCGGATGTTGCAGGAAATGAATGCGTTTCAAGGTCTTCCTTTGGCTCATTCAATTTCCCGTCCCCAACGAGGTTAGAAGAAGCCAGCTCATTCAAAGAAGAAAAACCGAGTTCGCAGACCTTAGTTGGCCGGCTTTATCAAATGTTCAACAAGAACAGCGATGAACTAGCTGCAACTTCTGCAAAATGTCCAGATGTTTCTGAAAATCTCTGTACATTGGATAATAAGGAGGAGGGTTCACAAGAGGAGCAGTCTTCATCATCACTCAGCTTTGAAGAAATGATGAGAAGCATGGAGATGAGGGAACAAGAGAGTGAAATTCCAAGTAAATTGCCAGGAGTAGCAGTAGACCGAGTTTTTGCAATCGCACCACGTGAGCTCAACTTAATCCTCTTCTCTCCCGACTCAACCTTCCTCAAATCGTTAATAGACACCCAAGGATCCACCGAGTTGTGTGTAGGTCCTTGGAAGTTCGACAATGGTGCTCAGAGTTTAAAAAGAGTAGTCTCTTTCATTAAGGCGGCGAGTAAATTGGTCAAAGCTTTGAAAACTACTGAGGAGCAAACTTATCTGAAAGCTGACGGGAAGACATACGCAGTATCTTGCACAGTTACCACTCCGGACGCGCCGTACGGGAACACGTTTAGGACAGAACTGCTCTACTGCATAACCTCAGGCCCGGATCTGCCTACTGGAGAAGAATCTTCGAGGTTGATGGTTTCATGGCGGATGAACTTCTTACAAAGCACTATGATGAAAGGTTTGATTGAAAACGGAGCACGACAAGGGGTGAAGGAGAATTTCGAGCAATTCTCAAGCTTATTGTCTCAGAGTGTCAAACCTGTTGATGAGGGGGAGAAGCAGGTGGAATTAGGATCTCTTCAGCTGGAACCACAATCGGACACGAAACTGGCATTTCAGTATTTTGCTAATTTCACTGTGGTTTCTACGTTTGTCATGGGATTGTATGTAATTTTCCACATCTTAATTGCCAGCCCTAGCACAATACAGGGATTAGAGTTTATTGGGCTTGATTTGCCGGATTCAATTGGGGAGTTGATTGTTTCTGGAGTGTTAGTATTGCAGGGTACTCGTGCACTGAAGCTGGTTTCAGGATTTATGCAGGCAAGAGTTCAAAGAGGTATTAATGAATAGCTTAATTGCCTAATCTAGTCTAAATGACATATCTAAAGTATGATGATTCACTTTGAATGTGATAGCCAAAGGTGGTGACCACGGAGTCAAAGCACAGGGAGATGGTTGGCTATTGACTGTTGCATTGCTTGAAGGGAGTGATCTGGTGGCAGTTGACTCGGGCGATTGTTCTAATCCATATGTGGTTTTTACTTGCAATGGTAAAACTAGGGCGAGCTCAATCAAGTTCCGAAGTTCATATCCTAAGTGGAATGGTAAATATTCGATGATGGTCTAGTTAAATAACATGAACCTATAAAATCTTGCACTTTACAATTCAAGAATGTACATGAATTGTTTATTCACTTTTACTTATGCCATACTACTTGCATCCCTAACAAAGAGTCTTGTTTCACCACCATACAACTTTTAATTTAGTAAGGTAGAACTATTGGAAAACATCAATTCTGGCTATATTTATAAACTCATTAAAATGTTTAACTTGTCTAGAACATTTTTTTTAAAAATACATTACATATGGTTGAAATTAGATTCTTTTGCTCTGTTATAACTTCTATTTGGGACAAAATAAGTTGCTTGTTACAACTTCCACCGCGGTTTTGTGCAGAAATATTTGAGTTTGATGCAATGGAGGAGCCGCCATCTTTGCTGAATGTTGAAGTTTTTGATTTTGATGGACCTTCCCATGAAGCTACATCTATTGGACATGCTGAAATCAATTTTGTTAAAACAAAAATATCAGATCTGTCTGATATTTGGGTTACCCTTCAAGGCCAGTTTGCTCTAGCCTGCCAGTCTAAGTTGCATTTGAGAATTGTCTTGAATAATACAAAGGGTAGCAATGTCGTCAAAGATTATTTGTCTAAGATGGAGAAGGAAGTGGGAAAGAAGGTGTCCCAGTGTTTTGTTAACCTTTGGAAATCGTTGCTGTATTTATTTTATCTCTTTTATGCTTGTTTATTAATTTCAGATTAAATATATTGTAGATAAAATTAAGGTCTCCCCAAACAAATTCAGCATTCCAAAAGCTTTTTCATCTTCCACCAGAGGAGTTCCTTATCAACGACTTCTCTTGTCAGTTGAAGCGTAAAATGCCCCTTCAGGTAGTTAATATTATAACTGTTGTTTTTGGGGTATGCTTGGTAGAGCAGTAATATGGAGTAGTTAAAGACTGTGATTGGGAAGAGTTGTTTTCAAAGAAAAAGTGTTTTCTCAGATGAAGAAGTGCACTTTTACTTTAAAAGGAAGCCTTTTGCAAGTAATTAGTAATTTATATTTTTAATTTAAGGAAACGCTTTTCGAAGATATTTAAGAAACCGCCAGATTAAATCTTTTTGAAATTTTAAAAAGAAGTGCTTTTAGTACTTAAATGACAAATGACTTATAGAATAAGTAATCCAAAACAAGCTCTAAAGCAGCGGTAGTAGGATTGGACTGGTTGAACTAGTTTAATCTCCTCCCTCCCATTAAACACACACCTGTTTGGTTGACAATTTTGCTATTTATCCGATGGCCATTTGGAGAGTGGTTGAAGATTTCGATTGTTCTCCCAGACACACATCCTTAGTGTTTTTTTTCTTCCCATATAATGCGTTTGTTTGAACATGCTTCTAGTTTTCTATGGATCTATGTCATCACACCCTCAATTGGTTGGCATTGAAAGAGAATAATCACTCTCTATGAAATTGCATTTATTTGGTGCAGGGTCGTCTCTTTCTCTCTGCAAGAATAATTGGATTTCACGCAGATCTGTTTGGACATAAGACAAAATTTTTCTTTCATTGGGAAGATATTGAAGACATTCAAGTCATTCCAAAGACTTTAGCATCAATTGGCAGCCCTATTGTTATCATGACTCTAAAGTCAGGCAAAGGTTTTGATGCCAAACATGGTGCAAAGACTCAAGATGTAGAGGGCAGGCTTAAGTTCCATTTTCAGTCCTTCGTATCCTTCAGTATGGCTCTTAGGTACTTCTACAGTAAAACTACTTATCCTTCTCGCTTTCTTATCCTTCTCGCTTTCTGGGAACTGCATCAATTATTTTTTATTTGCCCATTGGGTTATGTATCCATCACTTATTGTTTTGTTAAAACATATAAGCTTTCTTAGTCTTTACATAATAGTCAAATAAATAGAACGAGTATCAACATACACTTAAAAGTATTTTCAAAAAAAAAAACATACACTTAAAAGTTAAAATTAATTTATTGAGTGTCAGTATCTTTACTTGTCCCAAATTTTCATTCCTTCATAGTTTCCTCTGGTTTCTTTTCTATTATATTTCCGTAGTATTTCCCGGGATACCAACTGGCCCTTACTGAACTTGTGTTTTAAAAACTATTTACTAGTATAAAGCATACCCCTGCACCCCCACTAAGGCCCCTTGAGATTCATGCTTTATCTAAGGGAGTGTTTGCAACTGCTTCTGCTTAAAAAAAGCACTTTTGGAGATGTAATGAAAAAGTGATTAGTAGTAAAAGTTGATAGTGTTTGAGAAAAAAGTGATTTTGAAAAGTAAAAGTTGGTAGTGTTTGGTAAAATAAGTGCTTTTTGTGTAATAGAAAAGGGAAAAGCACTTTTCACACGCAAGCCGAGAAAAAGTAAAAATTGGAAGTGTTTTGTAAATAAGTGCTTTTTTGAGCCAAAAGCTAAGAAGTGCTTTTTTTAAGCTGTTGCAAACACCCTAATTCACTCATACAGGGCATTTAGAAATTATGTAACAAACCTGCTTGCTAGGAAAGTTGATATTGTTTAAAAGCATGTTTGAACGCCTACTAATATGCTTTTGGAAAACTGGTACAACAATATGGGGGTTGTTATCATTGTTATTGCCTGCTGTGAGGGTTGCTTTATTGATTTTAGTTAAAAATGAATGTGCACAGACTGATCATGGCACTGTGGAAGGCAAGAGCTTTGAGCCCAGAGGAAAAGGCACGAATTGTTGAAGAAGAATCCAAGGCTAAGAATCTCCAGATAAGTGACGAGGACTCTATGGACAAAAACTTACATGTGGATGATGAGACTGAAGGGAAACACATACAAAGTGAAGAGACTGATTTATCCACGGGAGATGATGATCTCACTATGTATATCGCTTATTCCTCTGTTCTTTCTATTCCTGTAAGTGTCTAATTATACCATTCTTTTGGATGTGAGAACTACACATGTATTTTCAACTATTTTTATCTCGTTACTCAAGGTGGGTTAGGGGAGTCTGAAGTGGTATGCTTCTTCTTGGGTTGGATGAGGGTATGACTTTGGATGAGGTGGTATTCGTGTGGAGGAGTGATCTCGTATCATCTTTTCCCCTCATTTCTTTTTCTCTCTCTTTTTTTTTTTATCCTTTTATCCTTATATATAAACATTATTTTTATCCTTTTTATTTTATCATTTTTATGTATATTCATCTCTTTTTATATTTTTTATTATATAATAGCTTATCTTTTTTATCTTTATTTTCTTTCTTTTCCTTTTGGTGGTGATATCATGTATCGATTCATGTTAGCCAACCCCAATATCGTTTGGGACTAAGGCTTGGATGTTGTTGTACTCAAGGTTCAGTTAGTTTGGGATGGGCTATACCCTCTTAATTGGCAATTGTGTATTAAGGCAAGTGAAGAGCTCGCCTCAGGCCCAACATCTTGTGCCCCTCTTTGGCCATTATAATGTGTTTTCTCTCCAAATAGAAAGATAAAAGGGGTCTATTGTTGGAAGTTCAACTCAAACCATCAGATTGTTACAGGAGCATCCCTGCTCTCATACCGTCATCCTGGATTTTACCTACATTGTTGAACTCTTACCCAATTATGTGAAAAGTTAGTTGTAATGAATCGATTGAATAAATTATATTAGAAAGATTAGACATTTTATTCATTTCTCAATACATGGTCATGGGAATGGCTCTGTATTATCTTTGGTTCAGTAAGGACTAAGGACATTTATTTTGTGAAAAGGGGGTTCTTCAATTCTTCACAATCTTTTCACTTTTCTTTTGTTGGCTTTGATGTGCGATGTTGATTCGGCCTACTGGTAAACTTCTTTCTTAAAAATGATTCACAAACAGGACCCTATAAATATTCAGGGACCCAAGGAGGGGTATGCATGCATGTGAGCAGTGCTCTAAAAAGGTATTAGGCGCCTTTGAATATCACTAAAAGCCCGCTTCTGTAGTGAAACTATCTGTAGTGAAACTATTGAGATTTGGAGTTCCATAGGTCAAACTCTGAATTGCATTTTTATATTCGTCCGCGATAAGATTGCTTAACATGTTTGTAACAGAAACCCACTCACTTATATGTGGAATGGCATTCTAGAACCCATACTGTGAACATAAGTTCTTTATGTAACTATCATTTCTACAATGTTCAGACAGATTTTTTCATGGAGTTGTTTAGCGGGAACGAACTGGACAGAAGAGTAATGGAGAGAGCAGGGTGTCTAAACTATTCCTACAGCCCATGGGAATCAGAGAAGACAGATGTTTACCAAAGACAACTTTATTACAAAATTGATAAATGGATATCACGCTACAAAGCAGAGGTCACAAGCACTCAACAGAAATCCCGCCTTCCTGATAAAAATGGTTGGCTCATCGAAGAGGTCTTGACATTTCATGGGGTTCCACTGGGCGACTATTTTAATGTACGTATTTTGTCCCTCTAAATTTCCGCATCGCTTTCATGTTAACACTTAACACCAATGGTGTATAATCAAGCGGGGTCACATTCTTAGGGTATAGCAACTAGGTGTGAATTAGTCGGGGTTTGACGAAACTTGAGTGGAATTATGTGGGGACTAAGTGGAAACCAGACATAGCCAAACAAGAGAAGTCTTATACCTAGTGGATATTAATCATGACTAGTCGGGATTTCTTGAGCAACGGCTAACATAATTATAGTCTTTTTAGCATGCGCATCACGGGAATACCAAATAGCATTATATTTTCTCTCTCTTAAAGCCTGTTCTGCTGAAGTGATAGAATCTGTCGAGTTTGTTGTAAATGTGGTGAACAAGACTTAATTATCCAAAGCAGTCTTGTTTGATCAAACTAAACTTTTTTCATGTAATCTGATGAAAACAGTTGCATGAAAGGTAAATAATACGGAGTATAAATTTAGCTAAAATTATGAGTAGGAATGCTTAATGAATCATAGCAGTTGCACCTGTTCAAAATTTCAATGAGTTGTAGTAGTGTTGCACATTTGTCAAACATGACTCTTTTTTGGAATGTTGTATTTTTTTAATTATTGAAATTAAATGGAATCTAAAAGATACTAGTGTCATTTATTATTATAATTCCATCCAAACAGTAACTGTTGCTCCTTTTTATTCAAACAATACATCAAGTTAAGTAAATGTTTTGTCAAGTTAATAAGCTAAAAAAATAGGCTTCCAGTTGGAGTTAAGTACTCACCTCTTCCCCTTGTTGTTGGGTTTCAGCTTCATCACAGGTATCAAGTTGAGGATGTCTCATCAGGAACAACAGGGTGCAATGTGCAGGTATACTTTAGGGTGCAATGGTCAAAATACATTAAACATCAGAAAAGAATCACCAAGAACATCACTTCCAATCTTCAAGAGCGGTTGTTGATCATGTTTAGTGCACTTGAGAAGGAGTATCTCTCGGAACAATAATTGGACACGGTGAAACCACTATTCATCCACGACTACAACAACTGCCAGTGGGGTTTCTTATCAACTGAATCATACTGCTTGTGAAGTGCCTTAGTAAGTATGTCCCCGCCCAGGGAAAATTAGCTATTCTTTTCATACTAAATTAAGCGCTACTCTCTCTACTTTGATACAAGTGATGCGTTGGAGGACCACACATATTGAAAAACAAACAAATACCAATATTATACACTTAATAAGAAGTAAGGTACACCCCCAGTATTATACTTTCGGTATGGCCATTTAGTTATTGGCAGTTTATCGGACCAATAAACGTTACCTGACTATGTTCTTTTTGTACACTGACAAGATAGATGCATACTCCCTCTCATTTATCACAGTGTGTGTGTGTGTGTAAAGAAGTCTGGTTTTACCTATGATAGCAGACTCGCATTGAAACTTGAGACCTGTGATATATAGCGTTCTTGTGAGTGCATGTTGGGCTTTGTTTTCCATGTTGTCTAATAGGAGTAATACAGAGTGATTATTTTACCTTTTAATAGTATCAGTTACACTTTGTGCTTTAGTACAGGGGTAAGACTGCGTACATCCAACCCCCCTTACCCCACCGTAGGTGGGAGCCTATGCGGCACTGGGGTAAATGATGATTGAATAGTATCAGTTACACTAAATGATAGTGTATCAACCAGAAAGACATCACAGATGATCTTAAACTCATTGTTGTATACGGAGTATTTAATAGCTAATCTTTGGCTTGTCAAACAGTCACAATGTAAATTATGTTGTTTATAGCCTTGTGTTACTATATACTCCGTATATGTTAAAATCATTTTTAGAGGTCGTTTGGCAGCACTGTTTTTCGGCTTATCAGGCTTATCAGCCAACTTTTTCACCAAACACGTAACTTTTACTTTCGCGTGCAGAGTTGTGTAATAAGCAGAAAAAGTAAGGTTAGAGTTACTTTTCTGGCTGTTTTGGCTGAAGTTACTGTAGATGACCATTTTAGCTATTTTTACATATAATTTTTTCTTTATTTTATTAATAAAATATATTTTAAAAATAATTGTTCCTTAAATCAGCAGAATCAGCCAATGCAGCCACTTCAGCTAGAACTTCAGAAATTTCAAAAGAATCAACCAAAACAGCCGATTTTCGTGCTACCAAACGGGCTCTTAAACCAAATGTTTCCTATTAAGTTCAGGAACTTTTAGTTGAACCTTTTGAGTTTGTCATGTGCTAATAATTTAAGTCCATTGGACAGGGTTGGCTTTCCAGAAACAGGCATTCTCAGGGAGGAGTGCCTCTATTCTCTCCCGACTGTGCATCTCAGACGGGCGGTCCTCTATTGATGAGATGGAAGTCTGAGTTGGAAAGAATGCGGTCTAGGATGGGATCCAAATATAGGATGGAAGAAACATCATGGCTGCCTTTTGGGAGATGAAAAGAAGCCAATTGAGCCACCTCCTTTTTTTGCATCTCAGCCTAACCTTTTTTAACACATGCATCACCAGTCGTTTGGCAGCAATGGATACAAATATGCCCTTAGAGTTTATTTTCAGTAGAACTACATAGCACACTATTCGACTCAAGTTATAAATATAAAAGCATTTCCTTCAACAGTTTCTAGAGAAAACTTCATGTCCAGCCGGCCTGACGGGAACCGCCGTCCGGCCGAGGACATTTCGGGCACTTCCCGATCGAATTTTTTGATGAAATTTTTTGAGCATGTTATTCATCAAGTCTAGTTTATCCATACGAAATTTCAGCTCAAAATTTGATCGGGAAGGCATTCAAATCATTTTTTGAAGTTGACTGCGTTTTTATATGTATATTTTGACCCAGTCAACTTCAAAAAAAATTATTTGAATGTCTTGCCGATCGAATTTTGAGCTGAAATTTGGTATGGATAAACTAGACTTGATGAAGAACATGCTCAAAAAGTTTCATCAAAAAATTCGATCGGGAAGTGCCCGAAATTCCCTCGACCGGACGGCGGTTCCCGTCAGGCCGGCTGGACAAGAACGGGACTCCAGTTTCTATGCAAACAAAGAATAATAATAGCCTTCAGATAACACCGATTCAGGAAAATAATGTAGACTTTATTCAACCAATTCATTATTTAGTCTCTAACTCTCTAAGAACTTGTTCTGGTCATAAAAAAAGATTAGGTCAGGTAGTTCTAATAGGAACGGCTGTCCGAACTATTCTATTTGAGGTGCTTTTTAGGTGGAATTTTTTTATTAAATTTTTTTGATCATGTTTTTTGGTGAAGTTTAGATTATGTCCACAAAATTTCAGTCTAAAATGCAATCGGGAAGTCAGTTAAATAATTTATGTTTTTTATAGGCAAAAGGGTCAAATAGGCTTTTGAATTAACTTAAAGTGTTCAATTAGCCCCTTATATAGGAGGTTCAGTCCGACCGTCGCCAATTGAGGAGGTTCCCGGTGGAATTTTTTGAGCATCTTCTTCATTAAGTCTAGTTTATCCATATCAAATTTCAGCTAAAAATTAAATCGGAAAGGCAGTCAAATGATTTTCTGAAATGTACCCGCGCTGTTTAACTTCACAATTATCTTCAAAAAATCATTTGACTGCCTTCCCGGTTGAATTTTTAGTTGAAATTTGGTATGGGTAAACTAGACTTGATGAAAAAGATGCTCAAAAAATTTCATCAAAAAATTCCACCAGGAACCGCCCCAATTGGCGACGGCCGGGCAGAATCTTCTATATATGGGGCTAATTGAACACTTTAAGTTAGTTCAAGGACCTATTTGACCTTTTAGCCTAAAATATATGATGTCTAAATACTGCCAAAAACACATTTTTTTTTGTTACAACGGAAGTAAAAATAGGAAAAAACATATTAAAGTCTAATACTCTCTAACACATACATGTATGCATTATACTATCGTGTATGTATATACGAAATGAGTTTCCAAAATGTACTGTGTTGTTTACCTGCGCAGTTATCTTCAAAAAATCATTTGATTGCTTTCCCGGTTGAATTATTAGCTGAAATTTGGTATGAGTAAACTAGACTTAATGAAGAAGATGCTCAAAAAATTTCATCAAAAAATTTCACCGGGAACCGCCCTAATTAGCGATGGCTGGGCAGAACCTCCTATATAAGGGACTAATTGAACACTTTAAGCTAGTTCAAGGGCCTATTTGATCCTTTAGCCTATATTTTATACTCCTTCCACCTTCAAAACAAACTACTTGCTAGTTGCTACTTTACTAATTTGAGTGTCTCAAATTAAAACAAACTTTTTATTTCCATAAAAAGTAATTTTTCAATAAAAATGTTAAACCTATCGTCACTTTTATTTACCTTTTACTTGATATAAAGCAGAGATGTATAAGTAAAAGGGAAGTTATTTTCGGGACAGGGAAAATACATGATTGCCCATAGAAATTAGAAATGTATAGAAATTGACCTTCATGGCTTTCATTCAAAATGGATGTTCAGATGTTTTTAATTGAGCTGTTTATTCAGTCAAGACCAAATCAGACTAGACTAAAATTAAATCAAATAGATCAAACTTAAATAGTTAAATTGACAATACAGAGTCTAGACTTAAACAATAGTAAAAAACACACAACTTGTTGATTAGACCAGACTAGATTAAATTTAAACAGATCATCTGGAGTCGCAAAGTTCAAATTCAATTAATAAAATATTCAATGGTTTTACACCTGGCATTTTTTTTTAAATGCTACATATAAATTCTAGAGCCGTTTGTTTGTGTACATTTTTAACTAAAAAAGTTTCATACATTTTATAAAAAAATGTGTTTACGTAACGGCAGGCGGAACTAATGCCCGACAAGTCGGCGACACTTGACCGTTATCCTAGTAATTTCAGTGCCGGCCAGATTTAAAAACCTTCCACACCTTCTCCACCAACCTGTAATTTCAGTTCAAAACCTTCAAATTCCAACGACCATAACTTCGAAACATACTTGTGATGGTTCAGATCTGTTAGCTTTGGTTCAGATCTGTTAGCTTCAAATTCTAGGGAAAAGAGTTGTTTGGCATTCCATTTGATTTTGTCTGTAATGTGAAAATAGTTGTCTGTCTGGTGAAATTATGAAGTACTTGTGTATATTTAGACTACTCTGTGATGATATTGAGATGTCTGTCATGGTATTTTGAATATTATGTAATTGGTTTGGAGTTGTCTGTCAATTTATTTTAAATTGTTTAAAAATGGTTTATAGTTGTCTGTCATGTGAAAATAGTTGTCTGGCAAGGCATATTAGTTGTCTGGTACGTTAAATCCAAAAAAAGGCACACACATTTATATAAAAACTACATTACCAATACAACCATGTTTCCAAACAAAATCACATACATTTAAAGTATGACTCTAAATGTACGACTCTAACAACTATAAAACCACGTTCACTTCAAGCAACTATGAAACCACGTTCACTTTATGTTAACAACTTTATTCCAAACCAATACATTTTATGTACGACTCTAACAACTATATAAAACCACGTTCACTTCAAGCAACTATGAAACCACGTTCACTTTATACTAGACAGACACTGCAGTTCCAAATTGTTTGTCCGCCAAACAAAATACAAACAAATGACGAAAAACAACATACTCTTCTCCTAGACTAACAAATACAGACACTGCACTTACAAGTTGTCTGTCAAGAAAGACAATCCTTTTTTTCGAAAACACACCAAAAAATGAAAAAATCAAGAAAAGTATATCTGCTCAAGTCATTCGAAACTTCTCGATCTTCACTTTCGCCGTTGTCTCCCCACGTCACCGAGCTCTCCCCTTCGTTCGATTACTGTAGCTCTTCCATTTGAAACGGAAAAAAAAGGCAGAAGAGGAGAGAAGCAGGAGAAGAAGCTTGGAGGGAGAAAAGATTGTAAAAATGAGAAGACTTGATGGGGAGAGATCTTGAAATGGAGAAGAAATCAAGATTTGGAGAAAAGAGAAAGAAAGGGGAGGGGGTGGTGCGTGAAAAGAAAAGATGGAAGAGAGAGGGAGGGAAGGAGAAGAAAAGTGGGGGAGGGGGATAGGGTTTTGGAAAGGGGTAAAAGGGATGGTAAAAAAGGAGAGTATTTATATGGGGTAGGGAATGAGGTAATGAAAAAAGATTGGGGTACATACAATTTGTACACAAATTTTGTACACTTGTCTGTCCCTCACAGACAAGTTGTCTGTCTCAAGATGAGTTGTCTGTCCCTCACAGACAAGTTGTCTGTCTCGAGATGAGTTGTCTGTCCCTCACAGACAACTCATCTCGAGACAGACAACTTATCTGTGAGGGACAGACAAGTGTACAAATTTTGTGTACAAATTGTGTGTATCCCAAGCTCCACCCATGAGGTAACTATGAGGTACCTATAGCAAACTTCAAAAAATAGAAGGGAAAAGTGTCAAATAGGCCCCGCTACTAATACGAAAAAGTCAATTAAGCCCCCAAACTCAAAAAACACTCAATTAAACCCACGAACTATAAAAAACGAGGCAACACAGCCCTTTTAGCATGTAATTAACCGGTTCCCGGTTCCATTAGTCCACGTGTCGCACTCGTGTCGCCGCGTGTCGCCATTTGTGGCCACTTGTCGGCTGTCGCCACGTGTAAAGGTTTACTTGGAATCGGTTAATTACATGCTAAAAGGACTGTTTTGACTCGTTTGTTATAGTTCGTGGGTTTAATTGGGTGTTTTTTGAGTTTGGGGGCTTAATTGATCTTTCCATATTAGTAGGGGCCTATTTGACACTTTTCCCTAAATTCTACTTACTTTTTAGTTTTTACGAGTAGTTTGTATACTTTGAAGTTTGAAATCGTGAGTTCATATCATACGTGATACATCAGGAGAAAAATTCCAAAAAAAAAAAAACTTGGCTGAGAAAACACAAATCGTCTCTCTCCGCCTCGCTGAGAAAACTTGGATGAGATTCAATACAATTTGTTTGCTTACGAGCTTCAACTGCAGATAAACCCTAAATCAAGGATTAGAAACCTAAAGAGCGAGAAACCCACGGTTAAATGTTCATTTGCAAGGGTAGGCCCCTTCACTTTCTACTCCGTTTCCTGCAAGTTTCCTAGTCAATTCACTGGAGCTTATACAACCCAATACCGAGTTCTAATTTTACCCGAGATTGAATTGCTTCCCTTCGTTTCCATTGTCGTTTTCATGATTATTATTTTGAGATATTTTCCTCTCAGCTTTATATCTTGTGAATAATTTGTTAATACGATCTCCATCAATACAGCTTTGATTCATTGTGCCTTTTTTTGCTGCAGTTTGAGCATCCAAATTTGCCTCCCAGTTTTTTTTCTTCTGATTGAATGTCGCCACCTTTCTCTCAACTTCTCAGCTTAGTACCATATCGTGAATCCTAGTTGCTTGAACTATATTCATGAATTGGTATTGCCTATTAAGGTTTGAGCTTACACATTTCATTCTAGACTAGGGGTACCATTCGCAGACTTACACATTTCATTGTAGGTAATGGCTGATATTATTCCTTACCTGTTTTCTTATCAGCTTGATTCAAACCTGAAGGTTCCATTAACAAAAAATTGTTTTAGCAACAAAGAAGCAGTAATTTTTATCAAGCCTTTGTAGAATATCCTAAT